TGCATCGGTGTTGTGTCACTTCTCAGACGGAAAATCCCAACTCCGAACAGTTGATGCAACAATACATGCTCAACCCTTAATTCCTAAACTTTTAAGCCCCTGGTCCATGTCTTTCGTTGCAGGTTGCCCTATGAAGGCTCCTCTTTGTGATTGTTCCGGTTACTATAACGGTTACTCGTAAAGGCTGGGATACTCAAAGGGTCGCACTTAGGGTTACTATAAGGGCTACTAGTCGGGTTTAGGGTCTATTGTTGTTGATGCATTTGATGCGCCTACTCTGAATGATTGCCATGGTGATGAGGAGCATGATGGTACTGATCTTAACTAACATTCTCATTGTCAGTCGCTGTCAGCTTCCTCATCGTGGTCAACGTAATCATCCACATCATCATCAACAAACATCAACATCATCATCACCACTATCATAGCTCCTGCTCTTACTGCTGCTACTGCTGATGCATTCCTCTAGAAGTTCAACTGCAAAAAAACTGCATGTGTTGGCCTCCCGGCTACGGGTTTCACAGCTTCTTAACCATTGCTGCCATGGTGAGTCTTGCCAGTAGCTCTTCACCGACGAGTACGAAAGACTAGCACTGCTGCTGGTGCCGGCAGCACGGGCACCACGACTCACCCCACCCGATTTTCAAGGACGACCTGCCTCAAACTGTACGAAACCCATGGAAATGTCCAGTCCTCCGTTTACGCAATCATCCGCGGCAGGTGAGAGTGCAGAAGTTGTGGCAAACAAGCAGGCCAGCAACGTTGCCTCGCGGACACGCGGAACCACAAACACTAAAACCCTGAACCCGCAAACTCTAAAGCTTAACACCCCAAATTCCCCAAACCCTTAAAGCCCTCAACCAAAACCCCAAACCGTGACACCCCAAGAGCCCGCTCTAACAAACGGAACATCGGTGCTGTATCCTCCGCTCGTTACAAGCGCTGCTGTTGCGGCAGACTTGCACAGCTGTTGCAGTGAGGATTGCTGGTCATGTTGTGGATAACGTTGCATTCAATCGAGTGCAAAGGGCGCAACCTCGTTTCCTTCAAGAGCTGATGTGGAAGTTGCACTGAACGTGGGTCTATACGGGTTTCGATGGAGCTTGCCATAAGCGTTCTTGTAAGGGTATTGTAGGGGGTTTAGGAATTCCTCTTGCGACCATCGTACGCAACTAGCCACATCAAGCTAGGCCACGCACCATGAAGGTGACATGAGCCGCGCAAAAACAGAAATCTGTCACTGTGGGAGGAATTGTCGCGTAAACTTCAAAGTGGGACTGCCAAGACTTGAGCCGCACTTCGTGGAACGCCGCCGTGCAAGCAGAATCCATGTAGACTTGCATGTAAACCTTACACTCGTACAGTGGGAATCCCCAAACCTTAAACCTAAACCACTAGACCCTAAATCCCTAAATCACTGAACCCTACATCCCTACAGCCGTCTACAGCCCTAAGTCCGTAAATCGAAATCCGTACTCTCCAGCGACTCGACTCATGCAAGCACCGAGCACCTCATAAAGCGCCGGGGGCCGGTGAACGTTTGAGGGCTTACGGGGTTTAGGGGATAGTATGGTTTTAGGGTTTTGGAGTTCTGGGTTTAGGGTTTAGGGGTTTAGGGGATATTAAGGTTTTAAGGCTTCGGGGTTCAGGGTTTGGGGAGGGGAAGGAGGAGACATCACGATGACCAAGCCGAACACGGAAAATTGACCGGAGGAACAAAGTTAAACAACTTCAAAAATTATCAAGATGATGACGGTAATCATCATCATCATCACCATCATCATCGAAAACATCATCTCCTCATCAGCATGATGATGGTGATGATGATGATGATGTGATAATGATGAGGATGATGATATGACAATCATTATCATGATGCTGAAGATGATGATAGCAATGATGGCAATGAACATGTTGTTGATGATGACGACGATCATGATGCGAATCCTTGCAGGAAGGAAGCGTCCGCCCCTGCAGCCCAATGCGCCCTTTTCTTCCTACGTACGCGTGTCCGCCGAGTTTTAGCGCGTTCCGGTGGAGAAGCTCTCTGCCTTTCCTGCCGTCCACCGTGCAGCCGTGACGGCCGTAGGATCTTCTGAGCCATACGAAGCCGCGAGAGTCGCCTGCCATTTACTTGGCTCCCAGGGTTTGGGGGTTTAGGGTCTGGGGTTTTGGGCTTAGGGATTCAGTAGGACATGTGACATGTCACAAAGGGCAAAAGCGTACTACTCGGGCGCCGAGCTTCGCAAGACATGTGGTGGAGTGCACATGCCGCTGTGGAAGTCCCCTCAACAGCCAACGCAAGCCTCGGGCCACATCAGGTTTCTTGGGCCCTGCGCCACACGAAAACGGCACAGTACCCTAAATGGATGATGACCAGGATGAGGATGACACAGGCCTCCTCGTAAAAAGAAGCCTCAGAGCCCTTCCCTGCCTCCTCGGCTTGCAAGTCGCAGGCACCGGGCCACGACTTTCTGCAAAGCCGCCTGGCAGCTGACTGCAGGGAAATGTGAAACGAGTATGAGGCGGGGCAGCAGTGGGTTTAGGGTTTAGGGCTTCGGGTTTAGGGTTTATGGTTTAGGGTTTAAGGTTCACCTAAAGGCACAACGTCTACCTCTACTTGCAAGCTCGTCGGTGGCACCCCTACTGCCGGGTTTTGAAGGCATTTGCGGCTTTGGGGGTCCTCTGGGGCTTGAGTGATTCACCACTCTGCTGGTGGGGTTTCCGGCCAAAGCCTATAAACCCTAAACTCATCTCCCATCTAAACCCTGAACCCTAAACCCATCTAAACCCGAAACCCTGAACCATAACCTTTAAACTCTGTGGTTTGGTGCTGTTGGCCTGAAGATCGGTTCGGGCATGGCTCGGGATGGAAGCCACCCTCGTACGACCCGAAGCTTTCGGAAGCGCCCAAAGCCCCGAGAATCATCCACGAGCCAGGAAGCTTTTCTTGTAGGGGCTCGGGAACTCTGGGAAAAGAGGGTTTAGGGTTTAGGGTTCAGGCCCAAAGTGCACAAGTTGGATGCGAACTCTTTTCCGGAAGGCGCTAATGACGCGTCGCAGCGGCGTCGGAAGCACGCAGGACGCGGAGGCACCCGGAACTCGCTTTCCATGTTCTCCTACTACCTCAAGAACCCAAAGCCAACATCTAGTTGAGCCCACACAAAAACTCTCATGAAAACCTACACCCTAAACCCCTAAACGCTAAACTCATGAACCGAGGAGCCCCACGGCAAAGCGTCCCCGGCCCTCTTGGCCATTGCCGGGGTTTTTTTTCTCGGAACGCCAAAGCAGACTCCGAGCCGAGGTAAAGAATATGGTTTCCTTATGATGGTAACTTTAAATAAAACCCCTTCACACGAATTTAGTTGGGGGGGTCCACCAGGCCCCAGACCCGAAAACCCTAAACCCTAAGAATCCTAAGACCCTAAAACCCCTCAAACCCGGTGAAGCTGCAGTGGCCTTAAGGACGAGACCGTTTCAGGTCGCCGCTGTGTTTTGCTCGGCTCCGAGACATCTCTGCGCACTCCGGGTCCCTTTCTGCGGTCCTTTTTGGAGTCTAGGGTTTGGGGTTTAGGGAATAGGGTTTAGGGTTTAGGTAGCTCTCTAAATTAGGGGCTCTTTTTTGGGTTCCTTTTTATAAGTGTGCCGTACTATATTGGGGACCTAAAAGGGGACCCTACCTTAGAAAATGGAAAGGATCGAGAGCTGCAGAAAGCACTGCCCTGGCCCCTCATGCCCATAACTACGGAGCAACCGCAGAGGATAGCTGAATGAAAGCTACCAAACGCCAACCGAGACCCGCATCCTGAAACTCTCCAAATCGCGCCTGCGAGGTCCAAGGCTGCAGACTCGATCAGAGCTTGCCGCAGGGCGGTCCGGGCAAAGTGCCCGACGGATGATTTGATTCTTTGGGAGCGCTGCTATACTATACAAGCATACTAGACTCGAACACACTCTAATATTCTGAAATATACGATAATGTAAAAATTGTTTATATATTTACATATATATATATATATTATACATACATACATACATACATACATACATACATACATACATACAAACATACAAACATACATACATACATACATACATACATGCATGCATACATACATACATACATAGATAGGCTTGAGAATGATGTGGAAGCGGGCTTGCCCCACTGGGCCCGAGCACCTCAAATACCTCACGAAGATCGAAATCAGGACCGACGATAAGGATCAGCAAAGCTCAACCTCAGTAGGGCAGGTGGTGCATGACGGGAATCGCCCTGCCAGCGCACCCTCAGAAGTCCCTCTCTCTCCGGGACCCCGCCGGGCCTTCCTCCGGTAGCCGCCTCGAGGGCCTCTAAAAGACAAGGCTTCGGAAACCGCGGCACGAGCCCTGCGAACCGCCCAGGCCTGCTCACTCCAGAGGGGGATGTTGTTTCCGTAGACGAGCTCAAGCTCGCACTGGGCGGAGATGAAGTTTCCGCCGAGCTCAATTTCGCGAACTGTTGTGTTGCTCTTCAGAGCCTCGGCAAGCGCCTCGCAGGGAAACGGCAAGACAGCGGTGGCTACTGCTGGCGGACCTTTGGAACCCCCCGACCCCTCTGCTTTTGCCAATCCCTGGCACCACCCGGCCTTCCCACCCTCCACGCCGATGTCGTTGGCTTCGAGGTTGATGCTGGCGAGCGTGGAGTTGGTCTTCAGCGCTTCGCCAATCGCCTCACTCGGGAAGTCAACCCTGCTAGAGCAAATCTGACCCGCCTGAAGCCCACCGCGCCTCCGCACCCTCATCGCCGATGTAGCAGTTATAGAAGTTGATGTGGGTGAGCGAGGAGTTGCTCTTCAACGCTTCGCTGATCGCCTCACACGAGAAAGCAACCCTGCGCCAGCACTAACCTCTTTGAAGCCCACCAGGCCTGTACCGTTTCGACGTCGAGACGAAAATGCTCGAAGCTCAACTTGTTGGGGTTGCAGTGTACGTTCAATCGCTCTGCGAGTTCCTGCAGAGTGAGTGGCACGCGGCTCCCCCGGTGTCTAATGGCGGGCTCGGCACCGGTCCTCTATGCGCACTCGCCCCGTCCAAGCCTTTGCAGCTTCCGGAGCCTTATCTGCAGAGCCCAAGCAGGCGGGCATAGGCGCGGTTTCAATGTAGATCACTCAGAGCTGCACCGTGAAAGTGCTTGCAGCCTGCCAACACTGCTAAGAGCTTGCAATCTGGCCCGGCTCTCCCTCTACAGGTTGTCATGGGTCTAGCTTGCCAGATGCGGGTTCAAGCTATGCACCCAGGGGCAATCACAGAGACAGCCTGGTCTGGGTGAAATCTTCTCCAGGGTGAAGGCATGACACAGCACGCGCAGGTATCATGCGAAGGCATGCACCCGACAGCCTCGGCCGCCCGAGAATCCTCTTCTCGTGGGCACCTCTTCTCTATCTCCGCAAGCACCTGGCGAGGCGAAGAACAAGCTCAAGTTTGAACGACTGGGCCACGTCACCGCCTGCTCGCTGATGTCGTCGTTGCCTTTGAGGTTGATGCTGGTGAGCGTGGAGTTGCTCTTCAGCGCTTCGCAGATCGCCTCATGCGGGAAAGATACCCCGCTGCAGCAGCACTGACCTCTTTGAAGCTGCTCCAGCAGACCCGCCTGAAGCCCTACCAGGCCTTACCGCCCTCCACGTCGATGCGGTTCCATGCGAGGTTGATGTTGGTGAGCGTCGAGTTGCTCCTCAATGCTTCGGCGATCGCCTCACGCGGGAAAGAAGCCCTGCTCCAGCATACTCCAGCAGCACTGACCTCGCTGAACCCCACAGCGCCTGCGCACCCTCATCGCGGATGTTGTTGTGTTCGAGGTTGATGCTGGTGACCGTGGAGTTCGTCTTCAACGCTTCGCCCATCGCCTCGCTCAGGAAAGCAACCCTGCTCGAGCAAAACTGAGCCCTACCAGGCCTTGCCACTCTCCACGCCGAAGCGACTCCTTGCGAAGTTGATGCTGGTGAGGGTGGAGTTGGTCTTCAAAGCTTCAGCGATCACCTCACGTGGGAAAGCAACCCTGATCCAGCAGCACCAACCTGTCTGAAGCCCAAAAGCCTTTCCGCCTTCACTTCAAGTCAAAGCTGTTGACTCCCCCGTGCCTCCCATAGGAAACCATATCCGACATATCCATGCTCAACGCGAAACCAGCTCAGGCCACGTATCTCGAGCTCGCGAATCGTTTGGTTCGATGCCAGCGCCTGGCGAGCACATGCAGGCTCAAACGGTCTTAGACCTGCGAAGCACGCAATGTGAGAAAAGACTGCCTTGGACCTGCGAAGCCCGGCCTGCGCGAACTCCCTAGCCTCTGCTCGGCCCACCTTAAAGTCCCGGAGCCTCAGCGCCCTCAGCTTCTTGAAGTAAGGCAGGGCCTTTGCCAGCTGCCCCAGCTGCCCTTCGGGCAGAAGTTCGAAGAGCGCCTCTTCGCACTCGGAGACTTTCTGGAGGAAAACCTTGAACTGCAGCTTCTTCACCTCTTCGGCATCAGACCGATGGGTGAAGGCTGCCGAGTCCATGTCTTTTTCGAAAATCTCCGGAGCCATGGGCACTTTGCCCAGCAGCTCTGGCTCAAAAGTTTGAGACTCGGGAGCATCGATCCAGTGGTTGTGTTCGGAATGGCTCCGGGCGGAGGACCACTCAACCTCTGCCTTGCACCACCCGCGCGTTCTGTAAAGAACCCGGTTCGCGACGAGCTCTTTGAGCGGACGGTCTCGGACCACCGCGCTCCTTGCGTCGTACACTCGTACTCGATACTCAGAATTCTTGCTCGCCGCTTCCCAGACATCGTCTGGGGTGAGGTTTTCTATGCGGAAAGTTCGGGTGCACTCATGGGCATACAAGACGTGCATGTCCTGCATTGACCGTCGAAAGCTCTCTTCTTCTGCGTCCGACTCCCGCTTGAACTGAAAGAGAGACACATAATCGTAAAAAAGCCACACATCCGAGAAGTAGGCTGCATCGAAGAGCGACACGACGTCAACCAGGCACTTCAATTGGTGGGCGCATGGGTCCGGATGCTCCCGACTCTCCCAAGCGTGGGACACCGAGCAGATCATCGCATCCCGAGTTCCGTCGGCCCACGCCCTCACTTCTGCATGCGTCACCAGGCCCCACTCCTCCTGCACACGGCTTCCGAATGCGCCGCACGTGCAGTGCAGGAAAAGACTTGCAAACAAGTGCATCGTCTGAGGCTGGGTCGGCTTCTTGGCGTCTAGGCAAGAGGCTCTTCGACTTCAGCAGCTCGTACAAGTACCTGGAACCGCGAATCCGACGCGCACCATCTGGCGCGAGAGCAACACCGTTAAAGCAAACTCTCGACCCTCTGTGACATGGGACGTTAACAGCTGACAGCTTTTTCTGCCACATCCCCGGCGAGCACTCGGCCCGGACCAGGCGGATGTTGGCGTCGTTGAGGTACTCGGCCAAGCTCTTGGGATCCGTCAAGTCGTACTGGGCCTGAGGCATTGAACACATGGGCAGATCTCGAAGAGACTCCTGCATGTATAAGCACGACCAGATTGCATCACATCGCATCCCCTCTGGCTGGGCCGCTGGCAGATGTGGATGAAGGCGACTCCGGAACCTCCAGAGGCCGGGATTGAAGCTGTCATAGCTCAGCTACACTCAAGTTTGACACATCTGATCTGGGCTAATAGGATCGAGCGCAGGTTCCTGCTGGAACAACCCTCTTTTGTTCTGGCTGCCAAGGCCATCCCACTCACCTGCGAGCTATTGAGAAAAACTGCTCTCCGAATCTCGCACGACAAGCATGGGAAGACATAGGTTTGTAGGAGAGGGGCCGCAGGCTATGTCCCCCTGAGAAGTCGCTCGAAGAGTTGGTCACACACCACGGTGATCTTGCTTTGCGCTCGCCCAAACCCCCGAATGTCGGGGCTGTTCGCCTACGAAGAGGATGCTGACATCAGCATCAAACTGTCCACCCACATGTCTCCCAGTTTTCTCTCGCACTTTCAAGACTGTGGGCATTCATCCATAACTTCTGTCAGCACATACACAGTGAGACAGTGAGACTCTCGCTCCACTTTGCAGTGAGACCAGGTCGCGTGTCCCTGCAGAACGCAAGTACGAGGCCTTTCCCCAAACCCGGAAATATGAAGAAAACTGCTGTGATCGAAACCTGAACCCCAAAAAAAAAAACCGCCGCGGCCTCGGCGATCGGCGCTTCCGCTCTGGGACGAGAAACGCATTGAAAGCAGCCTCGGTTGCTTGGGTCGTCTTGGGTCTAGCTTGGTAGGTGGCTGCGGCCACGGCTGTGCACACCGTTTTTCGGAGTGCTTCGTGTTTAGAGCTCCGGATTTCGTTCGTATCACTTCAGGCTCGGCCTGGAAACGGGCTGCCCATCCCATCGGATGGAGATTTGTGGTTGTCTTTTGCTCACCGACGCCGGTGTCAAAGCTTGAGCACCAGAACCAGGCTTGCAGGCAGATCCGTGAAGCGCAGTTCTGTGTGATACGACAGACCCTCGCTGACTCACATCACCAACGTCACGAGGTCTGAGCATTAGGCCGTAACCGCTCACCGGCATGCAGGCTGGGGCACGGAATCGAAGGGTTCATCCTACTGGCTTGAGCCAAATGAATCGACTGGAGAACGCAAATGAGAATGGCAGTGCAACTTGCCAAGGCGGGCTGAGACACCAAGCCTGGTATGTTATGACATGACTGTCATAAACTACAAGTGTTTACACGGATCCTCCCCTGACTTGGCGGTTGGAACCAGCTAGGCAAGTACTGGAACGGACATGTAAAAGGTGGCATCGCGACCTCGGGCTCCAAGATCGATCCGAAGCCCTGATCCTGGCAGCGACGGGGCCCCGGAAAGGGAGGTCTCTGCGGTGAAGGTCGAGGCTTCTGGGGAAGAGGCTGAGCCAGCCCTACCTCTGCCCCGGAGTGTGGGTCGAGAAATCCCAAAAGCACGAGTCCGAAAGCTCCCCAGAACCCCCTGCAGCCGGTACTCTGATATCCTTGGCCTTCGGCCCGTCATAGCCTCATAGCCTCAAGCCTTCTTTCTCAGGCCACCAGACAGCGCTCGAAATCCAGCACTGCGGATTGGGGAGAACGGTCTGGGGCTACGGTTCTACAGATTTTCTACCTCCCCGAAAGACAGAGCCCCAAGCGTCGGCCTCCCCATCCTAAGCCACTAAAACCCTAAACACTAAAACCGTAGACCCGAGGTGAAGCCCCAAACTAAACCTCAAACCTTGAAGGCCTAAAGCCCCAAAAAATCGCTGAAAAAGACGCACAACAAAAGCACAAGGCTTCCCAAAAAGAAACTCATATAAGCAACAAAACCTCTCACACCCCCTCCATGCCTCCTCGATCTGCCGGCCGCCTGGTGCTGGAAACCGGGGGGGAGACGACAGGGACGCTTCAAAACCTGCCCAACCGCTTCTGCCTTAGGCGTTTGAGTTTCAGGGGGCTACGTTTTTAGGGGGCCTTTCAGCCTCCAAGGTCTGAAGCTTTTACGAGGCTAAAGGCCTCAAAATCTATGGGTTCACTGTTTATTTAAGGCCTCAAAGTTTATGGGTTTACTTTAAGGCCTCAGGATTTTATGGGTTCGTTTCTTTTTTGGGGGGAAAGAGTCTCGGGAGCTAGAGGGGTTCAGGTTCCAGGGTTCAGGTTGCTACCAACACGGATAGAACCAAGGCATCAGGGAAAGCGAGAAGACGACCGTGAAGAGGAGGGGTCTACTTTAAGGCCTCAAAATCTATGAGTTT